GTCTGACACAAGCCACGTACAACTTTTTGACAACATTCCTTCTCTTGTAATGGACATTCCTGTTTACAAGTCCCAGCATCGGAAATGCCTCGCTCCTAGCAGCCCCACATTGCTTTTCAGCCTTTAAATCCCTGGAAATTACAACTCTAAGTCCCCTCCGTCTTCCACAAAGTCAGCTGTAACTAGATCGTTCAGCCTGGGTACTGAGCCATAACATAAGTATCATAGAACGAGTGCAAACAAAAATGCGGGATGAAGTACCGCTAGTACTAGGGGGGAGGTTCGCACGTGACTGCTGGTGTAGTGCCACACCATAATATTCGGAGCGCACTACTCCCATTCCCATGCGTCATACTGCATAAGTACATGTATGGCATGCCCCACAATCATGTAAGTCTGTCCATGACCGCCTGACTGGTATAAGGCGATACCCATCCCTCCACAATGTTGATAACATCAACAAAGCGGTGCGCAATCCTCCACTCTGATGACGACATCCATTCATTTTTGAGGGCACGCGATACACGTCGTCATACGCGATACACGTGAGGCTTTGGATTAGCCCGCCCCTTTACTGAGCGTCAGCGAATGCACTGCCTATATTAGCGCTCAGGGGCACACGGCACAGCCGGGACTTCAATTTGGGCCCCGCGTAGGAGTCCGCATGCTCCGTGGCGTGTAGCTAACAAAGAGACTGGCCCAAAATTGTGGGGCGCACACGTCCCGACTCACGTCGTTATCATGTTTGTAACGCACCGTGCGATGGGCGCAACGGCACGTGCTGAGCCCGTGAGGCGGAGACTGCGGCGCCCACGCACCACGTCGTGCGGCTGACAGCAATTAGCACGTGTCCGGCGGGCCGACATCAAACAAGCGGAAGAAGAAGTGAGCCGCCGTCCACGCGCGCCGAGACCGGCGCTAACAAGCTGGCGGCTGTGGACGCCGGTAGGCCGGTCCTCTGTGCCCAGGCTCGCCCCGGCGTCGGAGCGTTTGGCGATGAGTACAGCACCAGCTCCAGCGCTCGCTTCTCGAAGTCCGGGCTTGTCAGACATATACGCCGGAGAGAGCGAGAGAGCGAAAAGAGAGAGAAAGACGGAGAGAGAGGAGAGAAGAGAGAGAAAGAGGAGAGAGAGGAGAGAGAGAGAGAGAGGAGAGAGAGGAGCAAGAAGAGGAGACAGAGGAGAGGAGAGAGAGAGGGAGCGAGGAGCGAGAGAGAGAGAGAGAGTGAGAGAGGGAGAGAGAGAGAGAGAAGAGAGGAGGAGATGAGAGGAGAGACGAGAGAGAGAGAGAGAGAGGAGATGAGAGAGAGAGAGAGAGGAGGGAGAGAGAGGAGAGAGAGAGAGAGAGAAGGAGAGGAGAGAGAGAGAGAGAGAGAGAGAGAGAGAGAGAGAGAGGAGAGAAGAGAGAGAGAGAGGAGAGAGAGAGAGAGAGAGAGAGAAGAGAGAGAGAGAGAGAGAGAGAGAGAGAGAGAGAGAGAGAGAGAGAGAGAGAGAGAGAGAGGAGAGAGAGAGAGAGAGAGAAGAGAGAGAGAGAGAGAGAGAGAGAGAGAGAGAGAGAGAGAGAGAGAGAGAGAGAGAGAGAGAGAGAGAGAGAGAGAGAGAGAGAGAGAGAGAGTCGCGCACCGTCAGCCCCGCGGCGAGAGGCAGGTGCCCCGCCGCTGGTCCGGGACGTCGCACTGATCAGCACGCGTCGCGGTCGTCGGCCGATGCCCCGCCCGCGCGGTAATTGGTCGGCACGATCGACTGCCGCGCAGGACCGAAGCACCGGGGCCCATCAGCACGGCGCCGGCTCCCGGTGGCACCGACCCCCCTCCCTCGGCCCGGCCCGGCCGGCACGGCCGCAGCTGGCGGCGGCGCGGTGTTCGACCACGGCCCGTGCCGGCGGTGGGCGTCGTTGAGATGTGATGTTCCGTGGCGCAGGGCAGCGCATTTCCGCGACACATTCACGGATCACCGAGGCCGGTTGGCGCAACAGCTCGTCTGATTCTACAAGGCGTGCACACGCACAGCAATCAGCGTTTTTTTGTTTTTGTTTTTTTTTTTACCTCGGCGGGGCGCAATAAGGGCTCCTTGACACTCAGACAGAATGAGATCCTTTACTGCGCAACAAGGTAGGCAGTACGTTATATACGAACCCAATGATTGCTAGCCACTTGGACGAACGGCAGGACTCACTGTGCTTATATGATTTCGAGCAAGCGGCACAAGCGTCTCGGGACTGGCCATGCATGTCAGGCGCTTGTGCCAGCCGAGCGTTTATTGCGTGCACTCACAGCCCAGCAGCGAAGTGGGTCACATCCAGGGCAAATGGTCATTTTTGCCGGCGGTCTGTCAGCCGAGAGCGCGGCGGGCGCCGAGAGATCTCCTTTGTGCCGCACAATGCTACAGTGCGACCGGCCGTGTCAGAAGGGCCGCCTGGCCGGCTGCCAGCTGGCCATTGTATATCAGTCGGCCGAAACAAAGCGCACGCCCTCGGGCTGGTGTCTGAATAACTATCAGTCAGTGACACCGAGCCGCGGCGCCCAAAGTCTCTCTCGCTGGCCACGCGGTGCAGTTGACGTCCCGTGCCCCACCCGTACACTGCGGAAAGGTGGCGCCTCAAGGTGGGGGATGAATTTCGCAGCCGTTTTTTCTACTCATCAAAATATTTATAACACAACAATATGAACCCCAGGAGGCCTCGGAAAACGCTGAGCCAAGGACTCAGACAGGCATCAGCGCTCTACATTGACGGCGGCCCTCGCCCCCCCCCCCCCCTTCCCCTCCACCGACGCGGCGGTACCGACCTGCAGTGCACCACGATGGGTCCGTCGAGGTCGGGCGTGCGGTGACGCAGGCAGATGCGGATCCGTCGCCGGAACTCCAGAATGGCGTTGGAGAAGGGGCACGAGTGGCACGGCCACTCGGTGTAGTGGAACTGCAGCACGGTCCGCTCCTGCCGGACGGCGACGGGGAGGCAAGATGCGGTCACCTGAACACGCGCCCGACAAAAGACGCGCCTCAAGGCCAGTGCAACGCGTCGAACACGTCTCAGAGCCCGCTTTGTCCAGCTTTGAGCGCGACGAGCGCCTCATCCCACCGGCTCAGTGCGCGCGCACCCTGACGCCACCTACAAGCCGTACTCGGGGTGGGGGCGCGAGCACGGCGCAAACACAGCTGGGCCATGTCAAGATCGACACCGGACAGCGCCGACAGGTGGCCAGCGCCGGCGGAGAGGCCTCGCAGCCTCCGACTGGCCGACATCACTGGCCTGCGGGCGTCACTTTCCGTGAAAAGAAGCCCACCCGAGCGGCCGTGGGCTCAGCCCAGCGACGCGTCACGGCGGGCGTCACTTCACGGGAAGAGAAGCACACCTGAGCGGCGGTGAGCTCAGTCCAGCGACACGTCACGGCGCCGCCGCGGCTCGGCGGGCGGCCGCACCAGCTGAGGCGCCGGCGCGCGTGGCGTCCTCTGATGATGTCGTTACCACCTGACCTTTGGACACGGCAACCGGAGCCGACTAATCATAGACGGCGGCCGCCGGTCGCCAAAGCGTAATCTGGCGTCCAGGGGCGTCAGGCGCCACGCCTGGCGCCATAACCAGCAGAGTACGCCAGCGCCAGGTCGAGGGGCGCCTGTAAACTAGTGCGCTGTGTGCGCGGTAGGTGTGTGCGTCTCAGGTCGTCGGCCGCGCTCAGCCGATCTTAGTGCGCACAGTGCGCTGGTGTGTGATCGCGCGTGCGCTGATCAATGCGTTACCGAGTGCGGCCAACCGGCATCCTTGGCCTGTACGCGAGCGTGCGTGTAGGCCAACAACCATATTGGCTTGTCGGGCTGCGTGCCTGCGTGCCTGCGTGTCTGCGTGTGTGCGTCCGTGCGCGCCGGCGTGCCTGCGTGTGTGCGTCCGTGCGCGCCGGCGTCCAGGCGTCGGGGCGCGGCTCGGCGGGGACGCGTACCTGGTCGTCCTTGTTCAGCCGGATGGTGCGGATGACGAAGTTGGCCAGCTGTTCCTCCTTGAGCACGGTGACGACGATGTCGCCGTACGTCTCCTCCTTGTCCACCAGCACGGGCCAGTACTGGACGCACATCACCTGTCGGCAGCGGAGCGGCACGCCGGTCAGCAGCCGCGGCGCGCGGCTCGACCCAGCGCCGTCACCTGGCGACCGGCCGGGCGGTCACGCGTAGACCCGGGCCGCGCGGACCGCCTCGGTGTCCTGCCAGGTACCGGCCGGCCAGACAGCAGAGCACAGCAGTGGACGGCGACGCGACGGGCCTGACGTCCCTGCTGAACCCCGCCGTAACGTGCGACGCGGCGGTGCCCCGGTCACCGCCTCGGGCCACAGCGCCGCCGGCCGGGTCGCGCGACCCTGCCGCGCGTGCCACTCGGCCGGCTCGCGCTAATAGTCCGCGTGTGTGACGAGGTCCGTGACAAGGGCCCCAGGACCGCCGGGGCTGGCGGTAATACCGGACATTCATGTGGGCTCCCTTCGACCCGGCTTCGATCGTAGGCACCGACCCGTAAGTGGTCACGGGGACAAACAACACGCAATTTGTCCGGCACGGCCTGACAGCGGTTCCTGCGGGTCTGTGACGAGCACAGCTGTCGCTGACTCCTTCCAGAGGCCGTGCCGCCCGCTGCTGCCGCACCACCGCTAGGGCCATTGTCGAGGGCTGTGACATGAGATCTAAATGGCATTCAGTATGCTGACTAGGCTGGAACACGAGCCAGAGCTGTTGCGTCACCGCCGGACGCTGGGGCTGGGACGCCTACGACGAATGCGAGCGAGAGCCGGTGTGTCACCGCAGGACGCTGGGGTCGGGGCGCCTACAACGAACGCGAGCGAGAGCCGGTGCGTCACCGCAGGACGCTGGGGTCGGGGCGCCTACGACGAACGCGAGCGAGAGCCGGTGCGTCACCGCAGGACGCTGGGGCGGGGGCGTCTACGACGCACCAGACCCTGTTTGGAGTGTGGGCGAACGCTGAATCGCGATCTCCACTCAGCCAATGCGGGCACGCTCGCCCACAATAGGCGAAACTATTTCTGGGTCGAGTTGGCCGAACCGCTCCTCTTCGAGATACGAGTACACTCAGCATGAATAACACCGCTATATGGGATCGGCGTCATCCTCGACCGTGCGGCCGGCGCCGAACGTCTGACAAGCGCGGACCTGTCCAAAGCGGTACGAACTGGTACCCGAAGACCCCATCTGGGACATGAGACCATCCCTCGACCATCCCTCGCAGACAATCATCCCCCCTATCGAGAACACAAGACCAGCGGCGCCCAAGAGGTTCAGAACGGCGTCGGACGCTCAGCAGCACGCGCTTGGACAGAACGAGAACGCGTCCACGGTGTCCAAACACCCGCTACGCAACTCATCCGGTTGGCCGACACAGTCCTGTTCCCGAGGGGAGTCCCGTTCACCGTCGGCGAAGCGTCAGAATCAACCGACCCGGCTGCACTCGAACGCTTTCTTCGCAGTTCCGACGCAGATCCGGGACTGGTGCCGACAAAGGTCCATCTGCGCCGCAGCGCTCGATGCGCGCCTGGCGTGCGGCGCAGATCCCCGCACCACACGCAGCGCGGGATCCCGTCACGTACGTCGTTAGTAGGCACGAAAAGGCTTTCCATCGCCATCAACCAATAGGGTGCAGGGTCGCCGCATAGGGTATTAACCTCGCAAGAATGCAAAGTGAGTAACGTAATTATCCTACGACGTTCAAAGCGCCCTCCGTTTGAGGTGCACTTTTCACCACGGCTTGTGTTCCACTTAGCACTAGACTGCGGCTCAGCCCGGCCGCAATCGGCGGCTGAGCACCGTCACCCATCCCGGCTTATGAAACACAAGCCCGTTGTCGGCGGCGCGGCCAGCGCCACGTGATCAGCACGGGGCGGATGGCTGCCGCAATCAGCGGACAGCACCTGACCGGAGCTTATTTTGAGCCGGTCCGGGCGGCTGCCAGTCGCCAAGAGGTCGTCAGCGGCGCGGCTGCCGCACCGCCGGCAGAGCCAGGCACCGGCCGCCACGGACCCGGCCGGGATCAGTCGGCTGAGCCCGCGTCGGCCGGCCGGGGACGCTGCACGGCGGCCATCGACGGCCGCGGGCGGTCCGAGAGGCGGACAGGCGGAGGCGGTCCGTGAGTCCATCAGGCGGCTCGCCACCGCGGCGGCGGCCTCCCTGACGCCCGCCGAGCGCCGGCCGCGGCGCGGCATCAGCCGGTCCGGACCCGGACGCCGCCGCCGGCTACCGGCTGCAGAGGACCACGGCCGCGAGCAGGCGCGCTCCGTCCGCCGCCTCGGCACTCCGTCACAGCCGGCGTGATTGATCGTGCACCACACGCGGCATGCGCCGGCGATCTGTTACATGAAACGCCTGCTGAGGCGAATGCATCTCCGCCAGCGATATGGTTGTGATGGCGGCTGACCGGGAAACGCGTCCAAGCGCTTCCTGTCATCAGCTGTACCGTTCAAGGCAAATACGTGCTATAAACACGGCTCAGTTCCGTAATCAAAACATTGCATGACAGGGCAGGCAGCAACACACCGGTTAATTTCACAAGGCAGAAGCATAAACTGCATCGTTTGTGATCTCATCCAGCAAGCATGCATAACGAAAAATGTTCAGTTTGACCTATGATACACGTTCACGTCATTGATAAATGGGAAGAATCCACGGAATCGAAAGGTGTTTGGCTCATACCCCTACACCGTATTAACGCTCAAAAATGATGTACGCTGTTTTTGTGCCTCGCAGCCTTTTATTTAATTCCAAAAGTCAACATCAACCATTCGTGGTGCCAGCTCCTCATTTGACGAACACGTTTGTGTACGCCAGCTGCGTTGTTCCGCCCCGGGGCGATCGGCGTCGATGTCGGAGGCTGCGCCGGCCCGCGGCGCCGCGGCGCTATGCAGGCAGCCCGCAGCCGGATGGCATGTGCCTCGGACGTGGCCAGTGTTTGCAGGCCTGGCCCCGCCGCTTCAGAAGCGCCCGTCCGCCCGCATCAAAATCGTAACTGGCACCGAAGTTCCAACCGCAGGGCCGGGAGCGGCGGCCAGTGCGATATAGGTGTCGCGGTACCGGCTGGACGGCCGGGCGTGCTCCGATAATACAGGTATCACAGCACCGGCTGGACGGCCGGGCGTACCCCGATGATCCAGGTATCACAGCACCGGCTGGACGGCCGGGCGTGCCCCGATGATCCAGGTATCACAGCACCGGCTGGACGGCCGGGCGTGCCTCGCTGATCCAGGTATCACAGCACCGGCCTGGACGGCCGGGCGTGCTCCGATGATACAGGTATCACGGCACCGGCTGGACGGCCGGGCGTGCTCCGATGATACAGGTATCACGGCACCGGCTGGACGGCCGGGCGTGCTCCGATGTACAGGTATCGCGGCACCGGCTGGACGGCCGGGCGTGCTCCGATGATCCAGGTATCACAGCACCGGCTGGACGGCTGGGCGTGCTCCGATGATCCCAGGTATCACGGCACCGGCTGGACGGCCGGACGTGCTCCGATGATACAGGTTATCACGGCACCGGCTGGACGGCCGGGCGTGCTCCGATGATACAGGTATCACGGCACCGGCTGGACGGCCAGGCGTGCCCCGATGATACAGGTATCACGGCACCGGCTGGACGGCCAGGCGTGCTCCGATGATACAGGTATCACGGCACAGGCTGGACGGTCGAGCGTGCTTCGCTGATCCATGTATCACGGCACCGGCTGTACGGCCAGGCGTGCCCCGATGATCCAGGTATCACAGCACCGCCTCGACGGCCAGGTGTACCCGCAGTCACGCCTGGTACCCGCTCCTGCCGGCGCTTCACATCAGGCGACGGACCTGGCTCGTCCCAGCCCGGGACCGCTGCTCCGGCGCAGCCAGCAGGACCCAGTCGGGAAAGTCCGAGCGGGGCCGGAACCAATGCGCGGCCGCGCCCGCGGCGCCATTGCCGTCGCTCTTTATCCGCCCGGGAGCGCGATACGCTGATCCGTCACGACAGCGGGTCATAACAACGGCCGCGCCGCCGACAGCGCGGCGCCGCGCCACCGCCCGTCAACGAGGCCGGCCGGCCGGGCGGCGCCACACAACACCGGCCCCGACCTCGCTTCCGGTGGAGGCCCGGCCGCTCGGCTCGGTGGAGGCCCCGGCCACATCGCCGGCTCCGATCAGCGGGGAGCGGGCAACGTGGCCCCCGATGGGCGCGCGTCACGCCTCAACCACGCCGCGCTACGAGCAAACACAGGCCTCGCCAGCACGCCCACCGGGACGGGGCGGAGCGCGCGCCCACCATTACGGCGAATAGGTCGCGGCAGCTCGGGCAAACGTGGGCTAGGCATGACGTTGAACGGACCGCGACGGGCCGTACAGGCGTCGGCCAATCATTAAGCCGAAAACGCCGAGACGGTCTCAGTACACGTGGGTTCCGCATGACAGCGAATAGACAGACCAGACGGACACACGGCTACAGCGGGGCCAACTATGGCCATCCCCACGTCGAGGGACGGGCGGGGGGGGGGGGGGCGCTAGGTTGCCGGCCGCGGGTGCCGGGGTGCTGTGCTCGGTGATCGGGCTCACTTTCCAGGAAGTGGTCGATCATTTCACGGCACCATACAACCATCCGCAGTATCCGTGTCGCGGCATGCCTGCATCAGCAGTCTTATCCGTCAAGCCAATTGCAGCGAGCAAACCGAAACATATCCGGAACTGATCATCAAAACCACGACCCATTGATAGGAAATCGAAAACACATCTGGCGCTGAGAATCAACACCGCGACCTAGCAAAGATAAGACAAGCATTCGTCGGCTCCGCTCCTGCATCTTCTGGAGATGACTCACCTTGATAAAGTCGAACGTCTTAGTGAGCATGACGATGCAGGGCGAGTTCTCCTTCCAGACCATGCGCCAGAGGTCGTTGAGCGTGCGTTCGTTGGGGCCCTGTGTCACGATGTAGGCGTTCGGCTTCAGCAAGCTCTGCGGCAGGACGACGGAGTCGTGTGGCGCGGCGCAGCATCACATATCGGTGTGCGGTGCAGCATCATAGACCAGTGTGCGATGCGGCACACCATCACGGACCAGTGTCTGGTGCGGTGCAGCAGCCGTGCGAGGCGGCACAGCATCACAGACCAGTGTGCGGTGCGGCGCAGCATCACGGACCAGTGTCCGGCGCAGCAGCCGAGCGATGCGGCACAGCATCACAGATCAGTGCGCGGTGCAGCGCAGCATCACAGATCAGTGTCTGGTGCGGCGCAGCATCGCAGATCAGTGTCCGGTATGGTGCGGCGCGGTGCAGCATCGCAGATCAGTGCCCGGTGCGGCGCAGCGCTACATATCAGTGTCCGGTCCGGCGAGGCATCGCAGATCAGTGTCCGGCGCGGCGCAGCATCACAGATCAGTGTCCGGTGCGGCGCAGCATCACAGATCAGTGTCCGGTGCGGCGCAGCATCACAGATCAGTGTCCGGTGCGGCGCAGCATCGCAGATCAGTGTTCCGCACTGTAGCCGTGCGTGCGGCGCAGCACCAAGCTTGCATCACAACCACGCGTTGTCAGCGGAATGACCACACGGAAACAGAAGTTCGCCACGACGATCATTTGAGAAGAAGTTGTCCAAAAACAGGTTGTGCCCACTAGGAACCACTAGCACGCGTCCCCTCCAGGAAACCAAGCCCGTAACCACATAATAGGACAAATGTCAATGGCCCCTGAGGATGGCGAAAGTACTCAATGCGTACGGATAATGCCACTCCAGCGGCCCCGCGCGCTTAATGGCGAGGACGTCAGGCTCAGTGCCGCCCCCGGCTGACATCAGCCAGGCGAGTGGCCGGATTGTCATCATCCAGCAAGCCACGCTAATGGTTGGAGGACCCAACTGCTGCGACCCAAACGACCGAGCCAAACAGCCATCGATCGTGACGCGCCGCCGGGAGCCGGCTCGGCGCCGCCAGACTCACCGCGACATTCACACCATCATTTGCGCCATCGAACTTGCCTTCCGAGACTAATGCACGCCTTCAGAATGACAAAGCACCCCGCCCCCAAAGCAAACTGTTCGTGGCAAATGTCGAGCGTCACGAGGTTCACCACACACCACAACTAACGTTCGAAAACGGCACGCAATTTATTCGACCACAAAACACAGCTGCTGGCCATCACTTGCATGTGATTCAAAGTTTTCATAAGCACATTCAGAACTTAAGAAACGGCACATTATCTACGACTGGAAGTTGTGTCGGGAAGTCTCACTGATCAAATTTCGGCGCGCACCGACGATGTCAAACATGACATCCACAGCAGACCCCCATCAAACTACCAGTCCCTGTCAAAACAAAACACAAAAAGAAACGGTGGCGTTGTCTGTGGGCTTTTGGCTATCGGCGCATCCGGACCAGGATTGTCTACTAGCATTCTACGGCGTCCATATCGACAGCCCGGTCCGCAGGCCGCCTTTCCCCGGCACACGCACACACGCACACGCACACGCACATGCACACGCACACACGAGACAGGGGCGGGGGGTCGCTCCGACTCAGCGGCAGGGGGTCCGGTGAGCTATCTCACACTCAAAACCCATCGTCCTGGTGCCGGGCCCCCGCGCCTGGCGGGGAGGGCGACAGTGTCCGCCGGTGCGGAGAGAGCTCGTGAGGCGCTCGTGAGGCCCTCGAGACGTGGCCCAGGAGGCCCGGCGTTTGGTGGGGAAGGCGACGTGTCTGCCATGCGGAAAGAGCTCGTGAGGGTCCTCGAGACGTGGACAAGGCTCGCGCTCGGGTGGGGGGGGGGGGGGGCGACGGTGTCTGCCAGTGCGGGAGAGAGCTCGTGAGGTCCTCGAGACGTGACAAGGCTCACGCTTGGTGGGGAGGGCGACGGTGTCTGCCAGTGCGGAGAAAGCTCGTGAGGCCCTCGAGACGTGACAAGAGCCCCGGACGGCGGGGAGGGCGGCGGTGTCTGCCAGTGCGGAGAGCTCGTGAGGCCCTCGAGACGTGACAGGGGTCGCGGACGGCGAGGAGGGAGGCGGTGTTCGCCAGTGCGAAGACCTTGTGAGGCCCTCGAGACGTGACGAGGGCCGCGGACGGTCGCAGTCAGCAAGCGGACGCTGTCCTTACACTTGGACAACATCGTCCCGTTACGGCAAAACTAACACCGACGGGAGTGCTACAGAATCGGCTCTACACGGCTTTACGTCTACTGCGAAAAAGTCTAGGGATTTTACTTAATTAAATGCCACTTCAGTTGTATTGGGAACCAGGACAGTAGAGGTGATGTCGTGCGCCAAATGACATCCCAGGTACGCCGACATGAGCGCGAAATGGCAAAATGTATACTTCAAATACATATACTTGTCATGGCATCTGCTGAACAAAACACTAGTCTTTACTTATACACGACATCGCTTCCACTGAAAAAACTCTTCCACGACCGAAATTAAACTGCAAAAACACGTAAATCAATCAATACTATAAAGGCAAAAACCATGCAATGGCCTTTACTTACAAGTGATCTTACTTCAACGGTAACGAGCTATACGTGACTTTTGTGCCATGCAATACTAAAAACGTAGTGAATGCGTAACGTAATAAAAACGACAAAACGTAATGCTGCAAACATTTCTTGTCTCTACTAATACATGAAATTACTTCGACCGCCAATACCTGTGCACAATTTTTTTGTCGTGTGATACAGGTCAAACTCCATAAATTATACCCGTCAATTCTTCCGCACCACAGTTTAAGCCTCACCAAAATCCCAGATGAAGCGAACGCATGGGTACAGTTGGACGGACGAAATCGAACTAGATGTGCCCACTCCACGGCATCGATGCAGTATTGCTGGTGTAAATAACGTGATCGAGCGACCAACGACGGTAAAAGTTCCACGCGACATTTCATATGCTGGAAAAACGTATGGGACACTGGAGTGGTGTTCCAAAAAAGGGTTTGGGGACTTAACTGGAAAAACGACAGCCAAACTTGGCACTAACCACATCAAACACGGCGCTCGCCGCGAAGGTCATGGACTCATGCTTAAATAATGGAGACACGCCCCTATCACAGATAAGACGTGGATGGAGGCGGCGACAGAATATTTAACTACACCCCTGGCCTGGTGTTCACTAAAAGGCAACATGGTTTCCACTACAATGACTAAAATAAGGCCCTAGTGCTACACAAGAGAATTATTGTTTCAGAAAGTTGTGTTCCTCATTGAAATTCTGCAAACAAAATGACAGCCTTCGCTCATACGCAAAGCACCGCAAATCGAAAAAATGACGAAATATGACGGATGATTCTTTTTCGTGTCGAAACCACGGAGTGTTTATTACAGTATTGCCCAGTAACCTGCCAGTTATTCCTAAGTCGCCGCTAGGTGCGCACGCATTTTCCATTAAGTGGCTAAGTATTGGCGGTAGAAGTAATGTTAGGTGAGCGTAAAAGCTGTATAAGCTTCTGCAGCAGAAACATGACAGGTGTACATCGCTGAACTATAAGTTTTTGGCAGCAGCAGTAATAATAGGTATACGTTTCTTGAAGTATAACTTTGGCGTGTAGCACTAATTCCCTTGAAGTCTGCGGTAGAAGTAATGTGTACAAGTCATGACTGGCCTAGTTTTAGCAGTAGAAGTAATGACGGATGACAGGTCTTGACGCGTCGAAATAATGTCGTGTTTAAGTACTGTCAGTAGAAAGGCAGCACTCTTATTGGTACCAGTTCTTGCTGTAGCACTAACGCCGTGGAGCGCCCACGCAGAGATAGCATCAAAGGCTCAGGGGGGGAGGGGGAGGGAGGAGGTTCTGCGACGGCCGGCGGTTCGGCCGGCGGTGGGACCTCACACAGACGCGACCAGGACTCCTCCCGCTCTCGAACACGGCGCACGGAGACAATGGCGGCGTGGCAAGGCGCGGAGGCGACGCAAAACCTGAACAATGAGCCGCCAATGCCAGCGTTCCGCCCCGCTCCGAATCCCGGCCAGCGACAGCCACCGCCGCCGCCGGCTCGGAGCCGCACCGCCTCGTCCGGCCCGGTGCGGCCCGTTAACGCACCGTCGGCGACCGGCACGCTCGCCCCCAGCCTCCATCCCCCATAATGCCACTCACGTCCACGTAGGAAGCGTTGATGTAGTCGGACTCGGCCTCGTCGACGGGCTCCGGCTCGGCCGGCAGCATGTCCAGCACCACCCGGTTGTAGTCGTCTGGCAACGGGCGGCACGGGAGGCGCGGTCAGTCCGTGTGCGACGCAGCTGGCCGCTACACAGCTGAGTGGCCTGCAGATTGGCTGGTCAATTTGACCGAGACATGAGTCGCCACGACAGCTTCGTGAGATAACATGGTGCACTGGGAACAAGCTAAGCAGTATGGACCCTTTCACGCCAGTCACGCCCATTTGAACATAACAGACGTGAGTATGAAACAAATGACCATTACTGTACGCGCGATTGCATTAACGCAGCTTGGAGCCGCAGCAGATGGGTCACCAGCCCGACTGGGCTCGACTCCCAATAACAGTCTTAAGATGCCAGAACGTCGCAGGCGGGGGCCACCACCAAGTACTCACATGGCACCATCTTCTGGTTTTTGGTTCTTGGTCTCGTTGCACGGTTTGCTGCCGTGACGCGAGGGGTGCGGCTCGATTCGCCCTGCATGCTGTGGAGAGACGGCCCGGTTAGAGGCTGACAAACGCCATGAACATTGGGCCGCACAACTTCCGGAGCCGAAGCGAACATCGTAGGTTTCAGGAGCACCGACAGCCAGGCCCATTTTAGCACTGACTGCGTGCAAACCGGCCGATAACGTCGCCAGGCAGTGACCGCAGTGACTACTCCAACCCACACATCGTCAGATAAACGACGCAGACATCGAGAGACACACAATCTCCGCGGCTGCTCCGCCGGTTGCGTGTCGGCTGCGCGGGCGCCACGCCCCGCGGCCGGTACCTGACAGCCGAGCGAGCCCAGCTGCGCCACAAGCTGCCGGCGACAACACGCCGCCCGTCCGGCCGCTGCCGCGACATTCCGGGCGTCGGTCGATAGCAGCCCGTCAGGACGCCAAGGAGAAGACCGCGGACGGCATCTGCGGGCCGGTTCATCTGAGATCTGAAGCCGAGCCGAGCCCAGCCGAGCCCAGCCGCGCCGCGCTGCCACTGCTCGGCGATCAGGGCGCCGCGCAGGGCCAGCTGGGCCGCGGCCCGGCGCGCACCTGTCCGGCTGGCCCGCCAGGCCGGCCGTATCGCCGGCATCGGGTGGCCGCCGCTCGACTAATGGTGCGCGGTGCGACACACGACGCGGGTCGGGCGGACCGGCCTGTCACCAGCGGCCGCGCCGGATGATGTCAAGGAGCCGCCACAAGGCCGGCGCGCGTCAGGACAACCGGCCAGACGCGGCCCGGGTCCTGCTGTGTGAGGACAACCGGTCAGACGCAGCCGGGTCTGCTGTGTGAGGACACCGGCCAGACGCGAGCCGGGTCTGCCGTGTGAGGACACCGGCCAGACGCGGCCGGGAGTCCTATGCGAGGACATCGGCCAGACGCGGCCCGGGTGTCCTATGCGAGGACACCGGCCAGACGCGGCCGGGTGTCCTATGCGAGGACATCGGCCAGACGCGGCCGGGTGTCCTATGCGAGGACACCGGCCAGACGCGGCCGGGTGTCCCATGCGAGGACACCGGCCAGACGCAGCCGTGAGTCCTATGCGAGGACATCGGCCAGACGCGGCCGGGAGTCCTATGCGAGGACACCGGCCAGACGCGGCCGGGTGTCCTATGCGAGGAACACCGGCCAGACGTAGCCCGGTCTGCTATGTGAGGACACCGGCCAGACGCAGCCGTGTCTGCCGTGTGAGGACACCGGCCAGACACGAGTCGCTCCGCCATCAGGATGCCGGCAGGTCGCGCGGACCGACCCGGCGCTGGCCGCAGCACGGGCGCCGGCACTCGTCTCCCCCGCTCAGCCGGAGCCACGCGTCAACAGCCGAAGCGTTTCAGAAACAGCGGGCCGGGGCGGGCGCACGGGGCGCCAGTGGCGCCGGGCCGCCGCAAAAACAAACACAAACATACGACACACGAAGGGCGCCGCGCCCGCTCGTGGCAGCGGAGCCAGAGGCCGCGCGCACTCGACAAAACAATGACGCTCCCCGCTGTCCGACGCGGACTGCGGAGAGTGGGTGACCGGAGGCGAGGCCGACCATGTGTTTCAAACGCGTTTATCTCGTCACACAACACAGGTGGTGGAGCTGACACGGCCGACTACGATTTATTTAGGCAGCTGCACAAGTGTCGCAATGAAGCGGCATCGGCACTCGGCTATGTAAATGACTTGCCGGAATGTGAATGAGCACGCGAAAACAGTTGTGTGCATCTTACCGTGCATTGTTTCTTTTGCACACAGGGACGCCGCGCATAAATATGTTGGTAAGTGTGACCACTGCGCCGACCCGCGCGCTGCCACTTCTCCTTCACAACGAACCTGCTTTACATTCTCGCCATGTCCTCCTCGTCCGAGGATGGGCATCGTTAGCTACGTGAGAGACTCAAATGCCTAAAGAACGCTCCAGCGCACCCCAGCAGACCGCGCCGTCACTTAGCCCTCGCCGGACGAGGGAGGCTCCTCGGGACTCCCGGAGACTTTTCAGTCACTAACGCATACCGCTGACGCTCCGCACGACCAGAGTTTTGAACATTTCCACACCTCCTGTGAAAATTTGAAGACTGTCATAAGCAATTTATCTTAGGACTTATCAATGTCTCGTCGGTCACCTGCGTTCGAAATTTAATGACGTGTTTGTCCACAACACGCGTTCCGCAGAACGCGTGTTGTGAACAAAGGAAAGCAAAAGGAAAAAGGAAAGCAAAACGCAACGTCTGGCAAATGTCACGTATCGCCCAACCCGAGCTTTCTTGAGAGCTTTCGGTTTTGATCTTGAGATCTGAGAGATTTTGTTTCGTTGCACACTTCGATGATTTGAACTACATACGTCTTCCCCGCCGCCATCGGTGTACTTTTCACCAGAAGAACGCATCGACCAATGGTTTACCAGTGCCAGCTATTTACAATACTCCCTCCACGGCATATTATACGCCCACGACAAGAAGTGTTACGAATGTTTGAGATGCGTAGTGATGCATTTCAGGATTAACAAATTGAGCATCAGCATAAGCAATACAAACAGCGCGGCAAAGGTTTGTAACACAATAAACGCATCGTCGGTGTCGCAAAACACGCGGCACCCAGTCAGTTGACATCAGTCCACATGGCGATTCTGTGTTGGGAGATAGCCGGCGGGTAACAAAACCGTAACATGTCACTTGTGAGCGCTCCTCTCACTCTCTAGCTCCTTTGTCCAAGACTAAAGACCTTAAGAATGCGCTCGGAAAACTCACAATTTGTTATACTAAAATGGCATCTTTTCAAATAACGGCGACCCACAGCCAGCAACATTGCAGCTCGCCAACGCCTGTGATGAACGGGTTACTAAATGGCCTGCAATTGCATGCATCGTCAAATAAACTTATCTAAATGAAAAGATTTACGAGGCCCGCCATCATGACGTCCCTATAACTCTGCCGAGACTAGACTGGTTTATCTGGAACAGAACGTGCCACGAACGAAGCCATGAGGCTGGGACGGCCCGCGCCTTTGTCCGGTCCCGAGACAACGGCGATCATCTCTCGGGGCCACGACCCCGCGGCGGGGCGGCCCTCCACGGCAGCCAGCGCCGCCGCCGGCACCGCCTCCGCGCCCGGCCGGCCGCTGCGCCGGGCGCGGAGGCGGCGGCGGCGCCCTCCGAACCGCAGGCCGCGCACCGCCACCCAGCACCGGCCGCTGGCAGCGCGGCGCCGCCGGCTGCCAACTCAATGCCGGCTCGCGGTCCGGCCGGCTGACGTATCCAGCGGGGCGGTGTCGCCGGCGGCGGCACGCGGCCGGCGCACAAACAACGGGCGCGGCCGCCGCCAGAGTGCCGGCCGAGCACGTCGGCGCCGCCGGCCGGCAGCTGTCGCCCAGGTCGCGCACCGCGGCGCCTGGCCGGCCGACGGCCGACCCAGCCCGGCAGGTCATGGCCGCCGCCGGCGCCGCCCGCGCCCCGGCCAGTCGGCGGTCGTTTACCGGGCGGCTCCTATCCGTCGGTGTTGACGCGTCTCTCACAAAGGCCGAGCTGTGTCTGGTGCCGCGGCCCGCCGCCGGGGCCGCATGGGCCGCCCGCAGCGCGGCGTTCGCCCCCCGCCTGTCCGTCCGTCCGTCTCCCACGGCGACCGAATGTGGGCCAGCGGGCCGTGCGCGCCCGCGATCCTGACCCAGATCGCCGTCGGCAAGGTCGCCTGAGCGCCGAGGCCGGCCTGAATGGGGCCGGCGCGGCCGCCCGGTCCCGTCGGAGCGAAGACAACGAGCGCCGAACAAAAGGGGGCTGGCGGCCGGCCGCTGCGCCTGCATGATACTGCAGCGGCCATGTGAGGGGAGCCCACTGGCCGGGTCCCGCGCTCAGCGTCAGCTGGCTCCACCGCTCGCTAATTGCGGGCGGCGGCCGCAGTGTTAACCAGCGCGCTAACGAGGAGGCCACTTACCTGAAATTCGACTTTGAACAGAATCGGGTACTTTCTGTGCTGCTCGCAATACTTGATGAAGTTGGCCTTCTCCACGGGCTTCTTGGGAATGGCTCGGATCGCTTTGTCCTCCTCGCTGCGGGGAGACACCTCTGTCAGCAAGCGATCACCGGCTTGGAGCGTCGGGCCGCACGGTGGGCCGTGCTCGGTCGCCACGTCAGGGGGCAGCTCAGATGACGCTGTCGTGTCGGCGCGGTGTCGTAGCGAGCTGACGACGCAGCATCTGCCGTGCGCACACCAGACCGGGTGGGCTGGACTAAGCCAGACGGACCAGGGGGTGCCCAGTACACATGCGTTTGTGAGACGTCCGCCGGAGCCGCCGTGAGCCTGGGGCCGACGGTCTCTGAGCCAATCCCCAGCCCACGCACAGGCTACCGGCTCCGACAGACGGTACCGCAGCGTGTCGGAAGACAGTGCGACTCTATCCAAGATGACCGCCGGCGCTGTGGCCCCCGGCAACAGCACTGCTCCATCACATATTGCTGACCGGGCCGGACAGCCGGTATCGGACCGTGTGGGAGGGCTGTGCCGTGCCAGGACCCGGCCGCCGCCGCCTCTCGGAGGATCACCGACCCTCGCAGGCAGCCAGTCGGCCCGAACAGAAGGCATCGGACCGTGTCAACATGCTGCGCCGTGGGCCAGAGTAAGCCGCCGGCCGGATGTAGCTCCGAGCCGCGGTCCAGATTAATCAGGAGACACGAACATTAGAGCACAGGGATTTCACTGGGCAAATATTAGTGAGCTTCTGGCCAGCGGAGGACAGCACGCTATGGTCGGTGACGGAACTGGCTCATGTCATTAATACCCTTCACATTGCCCGTATTTTTAAGCATCAGCGTGGGTGCGACTGGTTGTTATGAACAACAGAATGTTCATATTGCTTTTTGAAGCTTATAAGTGTATACTTGAGGGACGCTTACTATCCTTCTTGCAGTTATGAAATACAAAAGTGCCACAACAAAGGAAAACGTGCATCGTT